TCCAGGTGAGGTTGAAGCTCCAGTTCTTTTCCTTCAAAGCGTCTGCTTCATTTATGGGTGAATACAGATGACCCCTGACACGTAGCAGAGAGGAAAGGTGTCCTGAAACACCGTGTATACTATGATGCCCAATTTGTTCAAGTACTGCCATGTAGGAAGGAAGATTTTATCCTCCAGTCCTTTTGGTTTGTGATGGATAACTCTTTATCCTTATCAATGATATGACAGTTTTGCTGCTTTATGAGCTTGGGAACTTCCCTGCTGGCTCCAAAAAGTGGCCCTTCTGTCTAGGATCCACCTGTCACTATGGTCCAGCTGTTTTTCCCCCCCACAGTGCCAAACTAGGTCAAGATTTGCAAGCAACAGACCTTCCCTCTTTTCAAAGTCCCTCGCATTCCGTTACATGCAGTCCCCGAAGCTGGAGTTTGACGCAGCCATCATAACCGGCAGCCGTTGACAGATTTATCAAACACTGCTTTGTCAAGTTCCTTCCGGGCACTTGAGAAGCAGAGCTTGGAAATGGGTTGGCTGGAGAATTCAGGAAGTTTAGTTCACAAAAATATAATGTCCTGCCTCGAAGTGAGAGGCAAATTTACCCCGGCAGTGAATTCCACCGTTTAATCAGATGGTGTACGGAGATGGCTCTTCTTTTGTCCATCTCAAGTCTCTTTACAATGCAGTGGTGCCTCGCTAGACAGTTACCCCACATGACAGTTTTTTCGCTAGACGTTGACTTTTTGCAATTGCTATAACGATTTGCAAAACAGTGATTCCTATGGAGGAATTTCGCTGGACAATGTTTGGTCCCTGCTTTGCAAACCAATTTTCACTAGACAACAATTTTGACAGCTCCCTCCGCGCTCGCAATACGGGTGTTTTCGAGACATAGCTTTGCAAGACAGCTATTTAAACAGCTGATCGGCAGTTCGCAAAGCGGCTTTCCTACAGCTGATCTTCGCTAGACAACGACGATTCTTCCCCATTGGAACGCATTAAACAGGTTTCAATGCATTCCAATAAGGAAATGCTTTTCGCTAGACAATGATTTCACTTAACAGCGATTTCAGTGGAACGGGTTATCATCGTCTAGCGAGGCACCACTGTAAATTGAATTGGAGGCCCCTGAGTTTCAGGGGCATACAGTAGGACTGTTGTATACATGGGACCAGTACCCATGGTTTCATTTATCCGCTGCCTGACAATATCAAATGAAAAACCTAGAAATATATATATTTCCAATGTGTATTAGCAGAGCTGGCCATTAGGGGGAACCAGAGGCTTTGCTATAGAGACGGTTTCTATAGCTACACATTCCGACGTCTGCTGGCGGTGGGCTTGGAACTAATCCTCTGCGGATACTGAGGACCTATTGTAAATCAGCAACTGGGGTAGAAACTTCCCTCAGTGCCCTTTCTGCACACCATGACAGGGTCTTTCAACCAGAGGCTTCCAACCGTCAAGGAAAGAGTTCCTGCACTACCTCGTGCAAGGAAGATTCCTGGCCACCATCCACCAACGCCATGCAATCTCCACTGAGACTCTTCCTCTTCTCGGCAGTGTTAACTACAGGTAAGGCAGGAATGGTAGACAATGAGTAGCCTTCTTCCATTGAGGAGAACAACAACAACAACAACTGAGCTCCCTGCTAGTGCCACGTGGATGTAAGATGGAAGGTATGCTCAACAGCTGCGCTCCTCCGGGTAGCAACCATTTGTGATGCCTTTTGGCTCAAAACCAAGTGAACTGAGGGTTGATTGGGGGTTACTCTGGGGCTGTGAAGTGAGATTTTCATGAGGGCGGACGGGTCTTCTAAGTTTGACAGGGATGCTGCTCGTACAACCCAACATTCTGAGCATGGATTCTCCCTTGCATCCATTTTCTTCTTTTCTTCCAACGATCAGGGGCCTGCCTGAAGTGCGAAACTTGTGATGCCACTGGCACCACCTGCACTGGTGAAACACAACCTTGCTCTTCTAGTGACAATATTTGTGTCGTCGCGGTCATTGAAAGCGGTCTAGGTTCAGGTAAGGGACTCTTAAATAGATAAAGGTTGTGGGTAGATCAAGGGTTCGACCAAAAGTTACTTCCCTCTACTGCATGGAAGGGAAGCTTGTTTAAACCTGGACAATTGATCTCGGACTTAGATTTAATATGGCTTCTTTGAGGACGACTGGCTTTACGTTGCTCTCAGTGACGGCCCAAGAACATACGGCAGCTGAATAATGTCTCCTTCATTCCTTGCTGGCAGGAGAGCTCAATGGTTTAGGTCTCGTTGGGAGTTCGATTCTCCACTGTGGCTCCTGCGAGCAGAACCAGCCTGTGTGGCTTTCGGCAAGCTGCAGAGACCCAGGGCATCCCCCCCCCCCAGAAGAAGGGAAGGGTAAATTGCTTCTGAGTATAGTGGTGCCCTGCATAACGGGCACCCCATTTAACAATGAATCCACATAGCGATGGCTTTTTTAAATGGAAAAACATCACTTTGCGACAATCGGCAAGCTGTTTCGCTTACCAATTTTCGCATAGCGATGTTTTTTCTAACAGCTGATCGGCAGTTCCAAAATGGCCACCAGGTTAAAAAAAATGGCCGCCCGCAGTGTTTTCGCGCCCTTTCCTTGCTTACCGGGCAGCGAAAATGGTGGCCGTATGGAGGATTTTTGCATAACGGTGAGTTTTTTGCCCACAGGAACGCATTAAACGTGTTTTAATGCATTCCTATGGGCTTTTTTTGTTCCACATAGCAACAAATCCGTATAGCAACGATTTTTTCAGAACAGATTATCATCGCTATGTGGGGCACCACTGTATTCTCTACCTGGAAAACTTGGAGAAGGGTCTCCATAAGTCATTGCTGCAAAACCTACCTGAGTGCAAGAAGTGTCTGGACCCAGGATATTACTTTTCGAAATCAGGCATATGATGCTTTTTAACTCCCTCTCAAGGGAAGATGGTCTGGCCTTTGCATTTCAGTCTTTTCTCCAAATGAACCCCACCCCTTTCTATTTGGGCAAGCTTTCAACAGGTGCCTGGCTGTTAAAGAAAGGGCTTTTACGAGATGTGGGTGCATCTGTGCCTGTGTATTTTATTTCAAAATAATTTTACACTTAATAGTGCTTTAGTACTGTAGGATCCCCTTATCTGCAGGATTAGTATCCACTGATTCACTTATCCGCTGTCTGAAAATATTAAAAAATATTAAAAGAAAGATCCCATATACATGACATGGCCTCTAGCTCCATCTAGTGACCTGTTCTATTAACTTCATTGTTTTATACAACAATGAAGTTACCAGAACTGACCACTAGATGGAGCCAGAGACCATGCCATGTATAGCATTTGTTCTATCATTTACTATGATCCATGTTTTTCAGTATCCTCAGGGAGGCTTGGAACCGATCGCCCATAAATACGTTATCCTACTACAGTGGTGCCTCACTTAACGACATTAAATTGTTCCAGCGAAATCGCTGTAGAACGAAAACGTCGTAAAGCAAAAATAAAAAACCCATTGAAACACACTGAAAACCTTTCAATGTGTTCCCTATCATTTACTATGATCCATGTTTTTCAGTATCCTCAGGGAGGCTTGGAACCGATCGCCCATAAATACGTTATCCTACTACAGTGGTGCCTCACTTAACGACATTAAATTGTTCCAGCGAAATCGCTGTAGAACGAAAACGTCGTAAAGCAAAAATAAAAAACCCATTGAAACACACTGAAAACCTTTCAATGTGTTCCAATGGGCTAAAAACTCACCATCCAGTGAAGATCCTCCATACGGCGGCCATTTTCAGTGCCTGTATAGCAAGGAATCCATCCCTAACCACAGCGGTGAGACATTTTAAGCACCCATTGGCCATTTTGAAAACCCGACGATCAGCTGTTTTTGATCGTCGTAAAGTGAAAATCGGTTCCCAAAGCAGGGAACCAATCATCACTAAGCAAAATTCCCCCCCTTAGACCACTGTTTTGCGATCGCAATTGCTATCGCAAAAACATCGTCGTGAAGCGGATTCGTCATAATGCAGGGTAATCGCTAAGCGGGGCACGACTGTATATTATAGTTAGTTTGATCACATTTTAACATAATAGCCTTTTGTAAATTTCTTACCTTTATATGTTTACCCTAGTTTTATCTGTATCCGTTTCAATCTGGTTGCAAACTACTTTAGATCACGGATGGTTTTAGGGGGAAGTAAGTCAACGAACAACGAACAGTTCAACGAACAAACTGGGATTCTTTTCAGTCTTCCCAAGATGGGGAAATCCCTTGCAAAATCCTTTCTTCAGCCAATTGTTCTCAGCTCAGTAATACCCTGTCTTCTCAATGAACCCTTTTGTCCTTTATCTCCATTGTAGAAGAGAAAAAAGTTACTGCGTTGAAACGATGTGAGTCTCTGCAGGTATGCACAGTTCCCTCATTACAGTTCAGTGCGGGGAATGGAACAACCTACAGAGCAGGTGTTGCTTGTTGCCTCGAAGGCCAATGCGACAAAGCTGTTCCTGAATGTAAGCCTGTTTCTTGCTATCCTTTCATACTGAGCTGTTCTCCTTCTACCCAGTGCTACAGGAAGGGGGGGGGTCGTGAGCAACTGCCTCCTGAAAGGTGCACTGAACCAAGAGTAGTCAAGCAGGAGAGAAGAGAGAAAAATAGAATTACTAGAGCACCCTGCCAGTGTAGTGTTCAGTGACAGTAGTGGTCCATGGTATAATCAAGAGACGATCAACCCAATATTATTGGAGTGGGGGTGACGCTGGCCTTGATCACGAGATGCTTTTGATTAGTGTAACCACTGGACAGTAACCATGCACTGGAGGTTGGGAGAATGTGGGTTGACAGTGAAGAATGGAGAGCTGTTTGCGGCATCTAACTGCAGAAGCCTCTGTGCTGCAAGGTCGGAAGACCAGCAGTCGTAAGATCGAATCCACGTGACGGAGTGAGCTCCCGTCGCTTTGTCCCAGCTCCTGCCAACCTAGCATTTCGAAAGGATGCAAATACGAGTAGATAAATAGGTACCACCTCGGTTGGAAGGTAACAGCATTCTGTGTCTAGTCGCGCTGGCCACGTGACCACGGAAACTGTCTTCGGACAACCGCTGGCTCTATGGCTTGGAAACGGGGATGAGCACCGCCCCCTAGAGTTGGACACGAGTGGACTAAATGTCAAGGGGAACCTTTGCCTTTACCTTTATGTGAGAGGAATTCCATCTTTTGGGGGGAAATGTTCATAGATTTTACTTTGTAGAATTTCACTCTTCCACTTTTTTTTTAATTAATGCCTTGGATATAAGGGATGCGGGGGATACAGTACTTATCAAATCTGTGGATTGCACAAAATGGAGTAGAAGAAGAAGACCTTGGAAGCCAGGAACAAAGTTCAGAACAATCTTGATAGGCTGAAAACAAAGAATGAGATTTAACAGGGATAAGTAAGGCTGAAAACAATGAGATTTAACGGGGATAAGTGCAAAGTTAAAGTGGGGGGAACAAATGCAGAGTTATGAGATGAGGGATACTTGGCTCAGTAATACTTTGAGTGAGAAGGATCTTGGAACAGCTGTAGATCAAAAGTTGAATACAAGTTGAATATAATTGAAAAAAAAAACAAGTGCAATTTTAGAATGCATTAACAGATGTACCTAACCAGAGCACAGGTTGCTGTCCTCTGAAGATGCCGGCCACAGAGACTGGCAAAACGTTAGGAAGAACAACCTTCAGAACACGGCCAAAGAGCCTGAAAAACCCACAACAACCAGTTAGATATACATTGTCCCTGGATCCTGTGAGGTACTAAAGGTAAAGGTAAAGGTTCCCCTTGAAAATTTTTGTCCAGTCGTGTTCAACTCTAGGGGGCGGTGCTCATCCCCGTTTCCAAGCCATAGAGCCAGCGTTTTGTCCGAAGACAATCTTCCGTGGTCACATGGCCAGTGCGACTTAGACACAGAACGCTGTTACCTTCCCACCAAGGTGGTCCCTATTTATCTACTTGCATTTGCATGCTTTTGAACCGCTAGGTTGGCGGGAGCTGGGACAAGCGACGGGCGCTCGCTCCATCACATGGATTAGATCTAACGACTGCAGGTCTTCTGACCCTGCAGCACAGGCTTCTGCGGTTTAGCCCGCAGCGCCACCACGTCCCTGTTAGTCCCTGGATGCTGTGAGGTACTAGTTCCCCTCTATTCAGCACTGTTTAGGCCTCACCTTGAATACTGAGTCCAGTTCTGGACACTGCACTTTAAGAAGGATGCTGATAAACTGGAGCAAGTTCAGATGAGCGCAACAAAGAGGATCAGGGGACTGGAAACCAAGCCCTAGGGGGAAAGACTGAAAGAACTGGACAGGTTTAGGACTTGAGGGGGGGAAAAAGACTGAGGCAAGATATGATAGCACTTTAAAAATACTTGAAAAAAAAAGACTGAGGTGAGATATGATAGCACTTTAAAAATACTTGAATGATAGTCCTAGAGAGGAAGGGAAGGATCTGTTCTTGATCATTCCAGCTACAGGAAGACAGATTTAGGCTGAATATCAGGAAAGGAAAAGCTCTTAACTATTAGAGCTGTACGACAACGGAACCAATGACCTTCGGAGGTGATGAACGCTCCAGCATTGGAGGCATTCGAGAGAAGACTGGACCACCCTCTGTCTGATCTGCTTTGACTTGGATTCTTGCCTTGAGCAAGGGGTTGGACTTGATGGCCTTGTAGGCCCCCCTTCCAACTCCATTATCCCCAAGGATCAACGAGTGAGCCTCTCTGCCAGTGTAGGAATCCACCAGCTAAAACATGCCCGTAAAATGGCCACCCAACATCTGTTTAAAAATCTCCAATGAATGAGAACCCAGCATTTTCTGATGTAGACCATTCCACCGCCAAGAAGGTGTTATTATTAGGATTTTCATCTCCGTGTTTAGTTGGAATTTACCTGATTCCACCCCCCCCTTTAAATCCAGTTATAATTGAAGCCTACATCGCGTGGGCGTTGCCTCCAACCTCAGTGGGCTGAGAGCCGTTCTCTTCTCTCTGCTTCCAGTACCACCGATAGAGTCTAAACCCAATGGAAAGATATGCCCTGCATGTTTAGTTGAGGGAGGTATATGTGGTGATGAGACAGTGGCTTGCGTTGGACTGGAGAAGTTCTGCTTTGAAGTGGCAACGGTCTTCATTTCTGGTAAGCCTCGTTCAATTTACAGCGGCCCTTTGAGTTCTCCGCTTTCTGGTCAGTTTATCTTAGCTGAAGAGATCACTGCCCCGTTGTACCTGGAATGATAAAAGCAAAGGCTGCTGTAAGACATGCAGAGACCCTTCCTTGAGGCCAGATATCAAGCTTTGTGATGAATTTCGGCTGGGGTTTCAGAGCCGGAGAGATCTGAGACTCACAAGGCACAACCTCATAACTTCACTGAATCCCAAGGAGATGCAAGGCCTCATTGAAAATGTATGGAGTTAGAGCAATGTTTCCCAAACCTTGGGTCCCCAGATGTTCTAGGACTAAAAGAAGCCTTCCCCACGAGCTATGTTGGCCAGGATTTCTGGGAGTTGTAGCCCAAGAACATCTGGAGACCCTAGGTTGGGAATTAGAGCAAGGGTGGACAACTCGTAGCCCTCCAGATGTTTCTGAACTGCAGCTTGTAGTTAGTCAGTCCAGCCCAGGGTGAGGACACCATTAGCCTAAAGCAAAAAATTATGGCTCATTTTCATGGCACGCGAGTGTCTTGGACAGATAGACCTGTTGAGCTCCAACTTCCTACAGTAGAACTTAGTTTGCAGCAATTTTATGTATGTGAGCTGGACATGATGGTTTTGCTGGGAGAGGAGTTCTTGGTAACAATTACTTTTCTGACCCTTCTTCCCCCCCCCCCAACATATCTTCAAATTCCAGATGGAAAAGAGCAGGATAGAATCATAAAAGGTTGCACGACTCAGTCCGTCTGCTCTGGATTAAAAACTGGCAACTCTCCTATGCTGGATGTTGAAGTTGTGAAGGAGGTCAAGTGTAACCCATTTTCTAAGGGCTTCCGATCCACAAGCCTGCTTCTCCCTCCTTTGTCTGCGCTCTTGCTGCTGAAGATCTTCCTGTAAAAGAAAGAGGGGACTGTGGCCACGTGGCATTCCCATTATGGTTCCTTTGAATCCACATACCATCTTCTCTCCGTGCAGATTGGCTTTCTAGACAGAGCTGTTGTGTTTTCCTCTGTGAAAATAAACTCCACATGAGAAATATATCTGTGGTTATTCTTAAAAAAACAAAAAACTCACACACCAAATTTCAGATTGCCTTGAGTTCTGGTTTCCTGTCTTGCTGACGACATGAGGACAGACATTTCTACCCATGGAAGAGTGTGGTGTGTGGGCCAGAATGCAAGAACTTCATTTCTTTACAGTGATGGCCTGCTAGATAGATGCTTATCCCACATGACATTGAAATCGCTTTACAATGAGATTTTTGCGATCGCTATTGCGACCGCAAAACGGTGGTTCCTCTGGGGGAAATCCGCTTTACGTTGATTAGGTCCCTGCTTCGCGAACCATTTGTTCGCAAAATGATGTTTTTTTCCAGCTCCGCAAAATGGCTTCCCTTTGCAAAATGGCTTCCCTCCCTGCACAAAATGGCTGTTTTCCGGACCCCTGCTTCAGAAGACAGCGATTTTAAACAGCTGATTGGCGGTTCTCTGTGGGCAATCTTCGCTGGATGTTGAGGTATTTCCCCATTGGAACACATTAACCGGTTTTCAATGCATTCTAATGGTTTTTTTTCCGCTTGACAATGATTTCACTTAACAGCGATTTTCCTTGAACGGATTTTCGTCATCAAGCGGGGCACCACTGTATTTATTTATTACATTTTTACATCACCCATCTAGTGGCAGACCACTACTTCTGGGTGGTTTCTAACACAGAACATACTGTAAACTTTTTTTTTTAAAAAAAGGACAACCATCCCACCCACCCAATCCACAATAAATATAAAAAAACAGCTCCAGAGAAAAAACAAGATGGCGGCAACGGATACAAAACTACATATAAAAACCAATAACGAGAATTATAAGGTGAGGATATCCTGAAATGCCTCTCTGAAAAACAGTGGTTTCATATGCTTTCTTAATATTAAGAGGAAAGGGGCCTCACGCACCTCCACAGGCAGTGCATTTCACAAGGAGGTGGCCACCACTGTGAGGGCCCAGTTCCTAGTCATGGATTTCTTGGCCACCCTTGGGGTGGCCACTTGCAGTACAGAAGCCTGGGAGGTATGAGAAACAATCTGACATTCGAGTTTTGGTTCATGTAGAGGGCCTTAGTGGGTAGTGTAGTGTCTTCTTATCAGACCCATCACTTTTCATGTGAGTGAAATAACAATGGGGAGGCATGCATATTTCATATTGATTAAACACTCTTGGGGAGACCTGAAGAGGGCTGAACAAAATTTAAAATATTTTTTGCCCCACCTTTCTGCTTACAAAGGACCCACGGCACCTTCCCTCATTAAAAGGCAACGCTTCCAAGCTCAAAACAGGAAGTATACAAGCATTTTTAGAAGACTTAAACAAATATGTTAAAAACTGTAAATAAAACCAATACTGAAAATACATTTAAAAGCAACAAGGCACACCTACCCTTTCAAAATACAGTAATAATAATTTTTTTTTTAAGAAAACCTTCTCAGACTGGCAGTTGGACTAAAGGAAAGCCTGCTTGAAGAGGAAGGTCCTTGTCTGTTTGCAGAAAGACAGCAAAGATGGGGTGAAGTTGGGATGGGACTGACTCTAGTAGGGTTTTCATGGTAAGTGAGATATTTAAGGAGTGGCTGTACTAGCCTAGTCCTCTTTCCCTTCCCAGTGGCCCAGTGGGGATTTGAACCCAGGTCTCCTGAGTCCCATCACTTTATGCACTAGACTGCCTTAGGTATGTGGTTGACCGGAGAGTGAAATCTCAGCACCCTTTTCCTGCCTGAGCATCAAGACATGATGATTCCACTCACGCCGCCTGGGGTTGTAATAATGGCGGTTGCGCTTTAAGACACATGGAATCTTGCAGGTCTTGGTGACAGTTACCGGGAGGCAAAATGAGCGCCAGCGTAAGTGCAGTTAAGTTTGCTCCATCCACGATGCAGACATTTATCATGTAGATTGTGTGTTGTATCTGTCTGTTCCTGCTGGTACCCCTTCTCCTATAGCAAGGGCGGATGTCCTATACATCAGAGGTCCCCAACCCCCAGTCCGTGGCCCAGGGCCGGTCTGTGGCCTCATCCGGTCTGTGGCCTCAGGCGGACTGGGCCTCCATTAAAAAGTCCAAGGCAGCTGACATCATTTTTTTAAAAAAAAGTACAGTAGGGCTTCTTTATTCTTGGGATTGATATTCACTGTTTCATTTGCAGCCGTGCCCCGCTTGACGAGTACCCCGTATAACAACGAATCCGCTTCCCGGCGATGTTTTTGCGATTGCAATTGCGATCGCAAAACGATATTTTAAATGGGGTTCTTTTGCTTTGTGAAGATCAGTTCCCTGTTTTGGGAACCGATTCTTTGCATTACGACGATCAAAACAGCTGATCGTTGGGTTTTCAAAATGGCCACCAGCTGCTCAAAATGGCTCCCCGCTGTGCTTAGGGACTGATTCCTCACTCTACAGACACCAGAAATGGCTGCCCCTATGGAGGATCTTCACTGGACAGTGAGTTTTCAGCCCATTGGAATGCATTAGCCGGGTTTTAATGCGTTCAATGGGCTTTTAAATTTAGATTTATGACGTTTTCGCTCTACAGCGATTTCACTGGAACAAATTAATGTCGTTAAGCGAGGCACCACTGTATCCTCAGTTTGATGCAGCCTTACTGTATTCAGTATATAACATACAAAGGCACCCTATTGTGACTTTTGTCCTACTTCTTTGTTTACTGTATAGAACAGTTTCTTTATATCTGTGGTTTTAGGCATTCATGGTAGATTGTGGAACCGACCAACCCCCCCCAAATACGGGGTCCTTACTGTACTGTGTTTTTTTTTCAGCTGTACTTTTTTTCTTTATAGTCATGGTACATGATATACTGGGTCCCTGAACTGTAGGAAAGGCAAACTGATAGATCGGTTTGACTCCCCTCTTTAGGAGAAAGGCAGCCTGCAAATGACCCTAAATAAATAAAACTAATAAGACAAGACAGACAAGACAGATTTTCTAATGAGAAAATCACTCCAAAGTTCAGGGCTCGTGTGAGAATTCGAACGAGTCTCATGCCTTGGCATTGATCTATCTCACTGTTATTGTGCCTATAAACTGCAATAGCTCAAATGCTGACCTACATACTTCCTTCAGATGTTTCCGTAGCCACCTTGCACTAAACATCTGGGCTCACCGTAGAAACAGCCTGGTACATTCTCATCATCATCACCCTCACTATGCAGGCTCTCCTCCGACACCTCTACCTTTTTGTGCTGCTAGCAACAGGTAATTAACAATGCATTCAGTTCTCCTGCTAACGGCCACCTACTTTACTTTGCCTGCGTGGATCAATACGAGTACTGGAATTCGATGATCACAAATGGTCCAAAATTCGCAACAGAATTTTAAAAAATGTCTCAAACATTTGTATTGGGGGAAATGCCTACAAAAGAGTGAATGTTTCTGAAAGATAAAATTTGAAATGCATTCTGTTAGGAACAATTACTTGCACAAAGTGTATCTGTTAGGAAAAATTAGGGCAAAAAAGGGAACGTATTTGGAAAAAAATATGCACATATATAACAGAAATGCTTGCTAAAAAATATAACAAAATCAAGGTTTTTGCTGTGGTAATCTGATTGATTGATTGATTGATTGACTGACTGACTGACTGACTGACTGACTGACTGACTGACTGACTGACTGACTGACTGACTGACTGACTGACTGACTGACTGACTGACTGACTGACTGATTGATTGATTGAATTTGTACCCCACTCATTTAGTCAACTGACTAGTCCTGTACTCTTTGCAGGATTAAAAAAAACATGTTCCTTCAGAACATGTTTGAGATGAAATAAATTTAGGCTTGGAGAATCTCCCACAGTTTGGAAACTGAAGCTAAGAAAAGCAAAATGGACAGAAGTGTCCATCTTAATGAACCCCATCGAATTCCACTAATTTCATTTTCAGCTACTCCGTTTGTGATTCTTGTCCGTGTCTCTTTTGCTTTTCCAAGCAAAGTAATATACATGATTAATATACATTAGTAATAAATAGTGGGTGTGTCTTCCTTTTCCACATCCTAATATGGACACATAGATGGGTGCCCAGTTGATGTCCTTTTGGAGAACTTTTGACTCAGACCGTGTCTTGCTTTCTGCTTGTATTTGTATTAAAGAGCCCTCCCCCCCCCCGTGCACATAGATGGGTGCCTAGTTGATGTCCTTTTGAGAACTTTTGAATCAGACCTTGTCTTGCTTTCTGCCTGTATTTGTATTAAAGAGCTCTTTGCCACCCCCCATGCACAAATGCCACTGATTCTGCTCATGTTTGTGCATTTTGTCCAAAGACAGGGTACGCCCCCAAAGCCTCCAAGGAGGATTGGGTTGGTTGCACACAATGCCTAAGGAAGGCAAGAAAGCTGATGCTGTTTACACAATATCTTAACACAGTGAGGAGGCTTGATTTTCACATTGTCCCTCTTCTGTACACCCAGGTGCCTCTCTGGAATGTGAACATTGTCAAGGGTCTAGCAATGTCTGTAGCGGTCCAAAGGAGGCATGTCCTGCTGACAAAGATATCTGTTATACTGGATATTCTGAAGATACCCTAGGTTTGTGCAAATTGTGGAAGCTGTAACGGGACAAGGGGAAACCACTGGACACTGAAGCCTGACAAGAGGGGTGGAGAATCTTCAAGATGTTGTCTCACTGGGGCAAGGTGGACAGACTTCCCCGAACAGCTAATCAATGTCTGGGGAATAAAGTCTTTCTGCTCAGTGTATATCACTGAACACTGGGCAGGTTGTTAATTGGCAGGCTGGATAGCTCAGCTGTCGGGAGTTCGATTCTCCACTGTGCCTCACTGAAGCCTGACAAGAGGGGTGGAGAATCTTCAAGATGTTGTCTCACTGGGGCAAGGTGGACAGACTTCCCCGAACAGCTAATCAATGTCTGGGGAATAAAGTCTTTCTGCTCAGTGTATATCACTGAACACTGGGCAGGTTGTTAATTGGCAGGCTGGATAGCTCAGCTGTCGGGAGTTCGATTCTCCACTGTGCCTCCAGGGAGAAGGATAAAGTCTTTCTACTCAGTGTATATCATTTAACACTGGGCAGGTTGTTAATCAGCAGGCTAGATAGCTCAGTTGTCTGGAGGTCGATTCTCCACTGTGCCTCCAGGGAGAAGAGCCAACCTGGGTGGCCTTGGGCAAGCTGGACAGTCCCAGGATGCTCTCAGAAGAAGGGAAGGGTCAATCACTTCTAAGCAATGTCTACTTAGAAAACCTTGACAGGGATCACCATCAGCTCTCAGAAGAAGGAAAGGGTCAATCACTTCTGAGCAATGTCTACCTAGAAAACCTTGACAGGGATCACCATCAGCCAAAACTGACTTGAGGACACACCATTATCATTATTTGGTATTCACTTAATCAACCTTTCTCTTGCTTCCACCACAGAGGGAACATTGGCTCAGAACATCGTAAAGGGATGTGAATCAACAGACCTGTGCTCTTTAGGTCCCGTACACTTGCATGTTAGTAACGACAAATACTACAACGCCAGATACGCTTGTTGCCCATGGAACAACTGCAATGATGTCTTTCCTAAGTGTAGGTATATTTGCTTTGCATCCTCTACCATTTTGCTTTTCTTATTGTTCCTTACTCTCCATCCTTTTGAAAACCCGACGATCAGCTTATTTTTGATCGTCGTAAAGCAAAAATCAGTTCTCGAAGCAGGGAACCGATCATCGCTAAGCGAAATTCCCTCATTTAGACCATTGTTTTGCCATCGCCAAAGCAATTGCAAAAACATCGTCATGAAGCGGATTCATAATGCGGGTCTTCATCATAATGAGGTCTTCATCCCGGGTGCAGCCTATTCAGGTGTTTCTAAGGTGCCTGTAAGGTGGCTAGAACTCCAGGGATGGAGAATAATGGTATTTGTAGTCCAGAAAGTCTGAAAATCCGGACACAACTGTACTTTGTTTTCTTCACTGGACTCTCTGTAAGAACAAGTCTTGCACAAGGGCAACACAGGGCACGATCCGGGTCTTCAAAGTTACAAATACCATAATGCTCCATCCTTCGAGTTCTACCTACTTTACAAGCACCTCACAGACACCTGAACGTGAGGCACTTGTGAGAAAGGCCTAAATTATAAGGCTTATTCTGCGGCTTAGCTAGGCCTAGCTTCACCCGTTTCCTTTTTCCTGCCCCAGGGCTCGCTGGGAGCTCTCTATCTGAGCAAGGAGCTCGGCCTAGCAAAGCCTCAAAGCTGTCTAATAGAGGTCTTCATCCTGGGTGCAGCCTATTCAGGTGTTTCTAAGGTGCCTGTAAGGTGGATAGAACTCCAGGGATGGAGAATAATGGTATTTGTAGTCCAGAAAGTCTGAAAATCCCATCCCTGGTAACAGGGCTTCTTTGGGAGGCTTCATGGTCAAACCTCTGCTTGTTTGAAAGGGAGAACAAGCAAAAGGGACTACAGTAGATTTTCTTTGGGTGATCAGTGAGAGTGAGGTCCTTAAACTTGTGTGTGTGTGTGTGTAAGGATTGATTTGAATGCATGAATAGGCACAATAATCTAACCCTGCTCTTTGTCCATCGCTGGCTTCGAAGGGAGAGGACATCTCTGTAGCAGGAAACTTCTGCTATATGGGGAGTCTCTTCAGACAGCTGGGGATCCTAAAATCTCAGTGTTCCCCAATGTGCGAATATTCTCCATGTGCCACCAACATTCACCTCTTTAGGCTGTCTTTCATCACATGTAGACAGTGACAGGCATGTTTCTGTGTGTGCACTGAGCACGTGTGTGCGCATGTTTGTGTTTGTGTGTGTGTGTGTGTGTGTGTGTGTGTGTGTGTGTGTGTGTGTGTGTGAGAGAGAGAGAGAGAGAGAGAGAGAGAGAGAGAGAGAGAGCTCCCTTTTCACATATCCAGATTAACCCCTTTTTGTCAATGCTGCAAGAGGGCTCCTCTGTAGCATCTCTGAAATAACGGTTATTGATTAGTTTATTGCATTTCTTCCAGTAAGATCCAGGTGATGTAGGACACTTCAACCCACTTAATAGTAGTAACAACAGCCCTGTCAGATAGGCTAAACTGGGGGGAGTGTTTGAATGAACCAGTAGGGCCCTTCAAGTTTCTTGATTCAGTGGGGACTAGAATCCAGGTCATCTCCCGTCCTGGTCCAGTGCTAACCCTAAATGATATCTTAGAGCTTTTCATTACCACCTGTTGATTGAATACACGTGATTACATTTTCACTAGAGGGGTGTATTTGTATACAAATACGAATATCCCCCACACAGCTGGACTTAATGAGAGTGCGGTCCATGGGGCTGCACTGTCCACTCGTACGTCCAGCAGTGACGGTGGTCCCGCTCCTCCTTCCAGTCACTCCCAGAGCCCCGCTCTCTGGCTGCTTGAGATGGCCACTCAGCAGCCATGCAGGGAGGCTCGTCCTCCCTCCCACTGCCCGGAGTGGCCAGATGAGCAAGGAGAGAGGGGCGCTTCAGGAGCGATTGGAAGGATGAGCAGGGCCGCCATCACCCCCCGGATGATGTGTGAGCAGAGGGTTTAGCCCCATGGGCTGAAACCTCATTAAATCCAGCTGTGTGGGGATATTCATATCACTAGAGGGGTGTATTTGTATACAAATACGAATATCCCCCACACAGCTGGATTTAATGAGAGCACGGTCCATGGTGTTGCACTGTCCACTCGTACGTCCAGTAGTGACAGTGGTCTTGCTCCTCCTTCCAGTCACTCCCACAGCCCCGCTCTCTGACTGCTTGGGATGGCCACCCAGCAGCCATGCAGGGAGGCTCGTCCTCCCTCCCACTGCCCAGAGTGGCCAGATGAGCAAGGAGAGAGGGGCGCTTCAGGAGCGATTGGAAGGATGAGCAGGGCCGCCATCACCCCCCGGATGATGTGTGAGCAGAGGGTTTAAGCAGAGCCGCCATCGCCCCCCGGATGATGTGTGAGCAGAGGGTTTAGCCCCATGGGCTGAAACCTCATTAAATCCAGCTGTGTGGGGATATTCATATTCGTCTACAAATACGAATGCCGCCATCTCAAATTTTCACTTCTCCACTTCCTCTTAAAACTCCTTCTGTTTCCTGTTCTCAGTGTTACCAATCAAGGAGGAAAAGAAGGTGGTTCAGTGCCCTGCTTGCTACTCCTGGACAGGGGAGTGCGGTTCCGACGTGGTGAACTGTACTGGGAAGGAGATATATTGCTTTTCCCTGACCTCAAAAATAATAACTAGTAAGTATCATTTCATGCACATTATGTGGCTTATGGAGGCAACTGGATTTATGGAGAAATGAAGCCCCTTCACTGACCACAGGAGACTAAATGGGGAACAACAGCAACAACAACAATAACAACAACAAAAAGACAAATTGAGAGAGAGAAAAACAATGTGGCCCCTTAAAGATTTTCTTGTCCTTGACTGTAGGTCCTTCTTTGCTGAAAAGGCAGGATGGGACCCACGGTGTTGGCCAAGGACAAGGTTCATTTCAACAAGGCAAGGTCATGCCTCCCCAATCTTGGGTCTTCTAGGGCAGTGGTCCCCAACCTTGGGCCTCCAGATGTTCTTGGACTTCAACTCCCAGAAAGGCAACTGGATTTATGGAGAAATGAAGCCCCTTCACTGACCACAGGAGACTAAATGGGGAACAACAACAACAACAATAAGAAGACAAATTGAGAGAGAGAAAAACAATATGGCCCCTTAAAGATTTTCTTGTCCTTGACTGTAGGTCCTTCTTTGCTGAAAAGGCAGGATGGGACCCACGGTGTTGGCCAAGGATAAGGTTCATTTCAACAAGGCAAGGCCATGCTTCCCCAATCTTGGGTCTTCTAGGGCAGCGGTCCCCAACCTTGGCAAGGTTCATTTCAACAAGGCAAGGTCATGCCTCCCCAATCTTGGGTCTTCTAGGGCAGTGGTCCCCAACCTTGGGCCTCCAGATGTTCTTGGACTTCAACTCCCAGAAACCTGTCCAGCAGAGGTGGTGGCGAAGGCTTCTGGGAGTTGTAGTCCAAGAACATCTGGAGGCCCAAGGTTGGGGACCACTATTCCTGGACGATGAGTTCCTGAATATCTCAACCAACTTGGAGGTTGCTTTGGACTTTGAACCCCAGAAGTCCTAGTCTGATAGGTCTCAACATTTCTCATCACTGGCTGTGTTAGCTAGGGCTGACGAGTGTTCAAATCCAAATCATCTGGAAAGGCACCAGGTCAAGGGAGGTCGGATCAAATGGTCTTTCTTGAGATATTGAGCAGGGAGAGCAGTTCTTGGCTAATTCTTACCCCCCTGTTTCATTTTCAATGGCCAGACGGGACCAGCTTTGTTACCATGAAAGGTTGCACCTCTAAGGCTGTCTGTGAAACAATGAAAACCGGCGCCCTCGCCATGATCATAAAGGAAGTTAAAGAAATGCGCTGTACGTCTCTCATTTCCAAAGGGTCTCGATTATTTGGGCCCCTCCTGCCATCTTTCTTTGGGTTCCTATTCGAGAAGATCCGGTTGTAACAGGCGGCGGCATGGGACTGCACCAAGATCCAAAGGCTTAAATCTACCTCTCTTTAATCCATGCACTTCTTTCTTGCAATGTGGTTTGGTCTTCCGGCTAGACGGTCTCTCTAGTGTCGGCGAAAAAAATAATAATAAAGAAATAAAGAGGTCCTAACATGAACGAGTCATCAATATTTTCTTCCTCGCTGCAAGTTGGTCAAGATTGGTTGATGTCAGTCTCAGATTGATTTTGCACATATTTCAAGGTTGGTTTGGCACCTCCCTGTAAAAGGTGCATTACTGGATAATGTGCTGTGTGTTGCTTTTCTGTGCGAAACACAGTAGGACGGGATGGGTTGTTCTTTTTTTAAAAAAAAATCAGTCACCCTCTACCTTTGTGCTTGCTGCATTTCCATGCTTAGCTAAACAGGTGGAAAAGACAATAGCTTTTGCACTGAGACATGTTGTGCTTAATCTCAATTTTTTTAAAAAAAAACTCATCCAAAAAAAAAAATTACTGTCTCACTCTCACACTGGAGTTGAGAACACTCGTAGTGCTGCAGCCTTTGTGTTCCAAAATCAAGTCTCTAAATCAAAACAATAGTGAGATTTTTTTTTCCATGTCCCTAATTAAAACCAAAACACTTTGGGATTCAAGAAGATTTCTTTATTGGTTGTTCTGGGTTTTTCGGGCTCTTTGGCCGTGTTCTGAAGGTTGTTCTTCCTGATGTTTCGCCAGTCTCTGTGGCCGGCATCTTCAGAGGACAGCACTCTGTGCTCTCCTCCTCATCACAACAATACATCCACAACAAGACACACTAATCACCCATCTCCTGAAAAGGACAAAAGCTAATCTCACAGCCATAAATACTCAGCTCCCAAGCAAACTACACCAGAGCACAGAGTGCTGTCCTCTGAAGATGCTGGTCACAGAGACTGGCGAAACGTTAGGAAGAACAACCTTCAGAACACGGCCAAAGAGCCCAAAAAACCCAGAACAACCATTAGATCCCGGCCGTGAAAGCCTTCGCGAATATAAGATTTCTTTACTTTGGCCATCTTGTGCATTGATAAATCCTGTCCTCAATCTTGACAATGAGCTTTCGTGAAATTAGGTTGCAATCTCAGTGCTTCTAAGCAGTAAACAACATTTAGGATCTACTTCTAGAGCACTAGGCTGGAACGTTAAATTTAATCACCAAAGATGTACTGAGCAATAGGCTCTTTATTCATCCCTGCACCATTTTCCTCATCTAACTGTACCTTTGCAACAAGCGATCATGAGCTCCATGGGGAAAATACAGGCATATTATTCCTTCTCAGCAAAACTCATTTTTAGAATGTGGCAAATTAGGTTAAGAAAAGGATGTAGGAGAAATGATTAAACCCCTCTCTTTCTACAACTCCATGGTTCCGACCATATTTTTTTATGCCACAGATTTTGTTTTTTGTTTTTTTTAAAAAAAACAACATGTCTACTAATTCTGGTTGAATTCCTCCCTTCATGATCATCCAATTCCCAGATGGCTGTGATGATGCCAACCTTCTACAACACTTTAAAACAGTCATGATCATAATGGGGGGTGCCATGGTAACTGCTTCCTCCAGCCATCGCCTCCTGTCTTTCCCTCATTAACTGTCATGGGCCTACTTCAACTCTAAATGTCTTCCTGTAACCGGTGAGTCACAACATTAGCCTCCTATTTTTTCCACTAGCAGATAATTTACCAAGCAAGCAAGGGAAACAGGAATTAGAGACACACTCTTTTTTAAAGAGACATATTAAAATTAGAATAAACCCTCTTATTTATTTAGCAAGTTTCAGTAATAGAAAGGAAGGAGGTCTGAAGGAAATCCACTAGATTCTCATTTACTTTGGTCATTATTTTTTGTAATAGGCATAGTGGAACAGCCAGTACTGGTTACAGAAAGTTTTCAGGGATGGTGTGGTGAACAGAACACAGAGTGGGAAAAAAATCTCTTTTAAGGTGTCACAACACACACAAAACACACATATACAAGCATGGCTAAAAATCAATAGATTTGAAACCAACATATCGTAGCAACTTTAAGCTTAACAAATTTCTTTTAGTATGAGGTTTTTGTGGATTACAATCCAATTTTTCAGACACTTGCAAAGAAAAGGTATATCTGAAGCACTGGATTGAAGTATATGTACAGTAGGATGCCCCCCACCCCGTGGATGCTGGAAAATGCAGATTATAACAAACAGTATTAAAAGAACGAATGCCATACATAGCATGGTATCTGGGTCCCTCTAGTGGCCACCAGTTCTGCTAATGATGTCATAGAAACACCACATTTTTCTGTATATAAGACGCCCCCATGTATAAGACGCCCCATTTTTTTTTCTAACAAAATTTTTCTTTCTTTGCAAGAAAGTGAAGGAGGAAAGCAGGGATCAAAGCGCTTTGATTCCTGCTTTTCCCCTCCACTTTCTTGTGAGGACAGTGCTTTCTCCCTCTACTTTCTTTGCAAAAAGCTGTTTTTCCCCTCCACTGTTTGCAAAGAAAGTGGAGGAAGTGCTTTGCACATCCACTTTCTTTCTTTCCCCCCTCCTTACTATGGTGTATAAAACGACCCTCAATTTTCCCTCTAATTACTTTAGGAAAAACTGTCGTTTTATACACAGAAAAACACGGCATCTTTCTCTAGCATAGAACACGCTGTACATAGCATGGTCTCTGGCTCCTTCTGTGGTGCTGGAGGAGGCTCTTGAGGGTCCCCTGGACTGTAAGGAGAGCAAACCTGTCCATTCTGAAGGAAATCAACTCTGAGTGCTCACTGGAAGGACAGATCCTGAAGCTGAGGCTGCAATACTTCGGCCATCTCATGAGAAGACTCCCTGGAAAAGACCCTGATGTTGGGAAAGTGTGAAGGCAAGAGGAGAAGGGGACGACAGAGGACGAGATGGCTGGACAGGGTCATCAAAGCTACCAACATGAATTTGAAGCAACTCAAGGAGGCAGTGGAGGACAGGAGGGCCTGGTGTCATCTGGTCCATGGGGTCACGAAGGGTCGGACATGTCTTAACGACTAAACAACAATAGGCTCCTTCTAGCGGCCAGTTCTGGTAACTTCATCTTTTGAAATACAGATTTCTAGGACTTTTAATATTTTTCATATTTTCAGACTGATAAGTGAATCAGCAGATATTGCTCTTGTGGATATAGGGGTCCTACTGTATTCATTTATGCAAGAACCATGGACACTATGTTGAACCTTTCTACAGACTAGGCTGCTGAAGGGGTGGGGGCATGAATATTTTTTCTCCATCTACACATCCTTTTATATCCACATCTTGCGGCTGCATCACATTGTGATTTCTGCTTTGTGTACCTAGCAGTTAGGTTGTTTATGCAGTACAGCTCAGTATGCAACAGCAAATACCTGCACAAACTGCTTAACATGGGACAATTTGATGGTGAAGGTTTTTTGCTTTTTGGTTGCAGGGTAACTAATAAGGGATCTGAAGTCAGATACAATCCCCAAGCTTAGTAAAAAACTCTTAGGAAAGTTATCTTTTCAAGCTAGGGCTCTAACCAGCATTCAGTCAGTGTAGCTATGCTACCTGGAAGAGTGATCTGGAAGCTGTAGTGGAATTGCTCTATACAGTGGGGTCTTGACTTAAGAACGGCTTGAGTTAAGAACATTTTGACTTAAGAACCGCTCTCATAGGAAAATATTGACTTGACTTAAGTACTTAGATTTGAGTTAAGAACTGAAAAAAACCCACATAGGAGGCAGGGAAAGTGCAAAATTTGAACTTTCAGTTAACTGTTGGCCAGTGAAAAGGGTGCCTGTCTGCTTCCTCACTCCTCCCAGCGTTTAGAGAGTGGATTGGGAGACAGTCTTCGGACTGGCTGGTACTGTCCTGCCTGGACTGTCTTTTCCCTGCCTTCCCTGAACCTTTCTTGACCTAAGAAAAAAAGAAACATAATATACCCCTCTAGTGGCAGAAGGCGGAATAGCAGCTTCCCATTAGTTTCTATGGACGGAAAAGAGCAAATACGGATTAAATGGTTTTCAATGCATTCCTATGGGAAATGCAGATTTGACTTGAGAACTTTTTGACTTGAGAACTGCCTTCCAATACGGATTAAGTTCTCAAGTCAAGACCCCACTGTATTGATCCACTTTGGAAAATCAGCTATTAGTGGTGGGGTATAGGGAGGGGATTTTCAGATTTTTTTGGACTACCAACCCCACGATGATTCTTTCAGGGAATGTTACCTGATTTACAGACACCTTACAGACACCTAACCTTGGCTCACCTGGGAGAAAGGCCTCAATTGGGAAGGCTTTGAGGCCTAGCTCGGCCTAGCTTCCTGTTCAGAAAGAAAGCTCCCAGCAAGCACCAATGCAGGACACGACACCAGTTTTGTGCAGAGACATTTTTGTCCAAAATGGGGCGAGGCTAGGGAAAATTACCACCTGCCAAACATGCTTTCTGTGAATGTCTTTACAGGCTAAGCCAGGGAATTTGATTCATCGCGGAGAGAAATGTTATATGTTTACTGTCACCATCATCAACATGAAGCTTCTTCTGAAAATCCTCTTCTTTTGTGTGCTTCTAAGAACTGGTGAGGAAGGGCTGGTCACCTGTTAGAGTGTTGTTTAATCAGGATGAAAACTAGGGATGTGCACTAGCCCCCAACGTTTGGATTTGGAATCACAGCCCTCCAGCATGTTAAAAAATTAAGAATTTCCAGATATCTGGGACTCCATTACAGTCAAAATGAATAAAAAGAAACAAACAGGTAAAGCTTTTTAAAAGCATTTCCCTTTAAAAAACGCATACCAATAGCTAATATTGCCAAAGTGCTAGAAAATGACTGTAACGGGCATGCTGGTCGAATCCTGAATAGTGGGAGTGCCGGCAGGAAATGCTGGGGAAACAGAGAATAGGTTGCCCTGGGAGTGGGCAAATGCCCTGGGGAGTGGGCAAACACCTCCTACAGGTGATGTGGGCAGCACATCACCTGTAGGGGGTGGGAACTGTGCCAACCGCTTGGGGCGCAGCACAGCTGAGTGACCACGGTCTTGGAGTAGCCATTGGTAGGATGAAAGAGGCAGAAGGAAAGGGGCAGCAGACTGAAACAGGGCATACCTAGTAGTCTGAGAACTGGGTATATACTGCTTGATATACCTGCAACAAAGGCACATTAATTTATTTTCTCCTTCTCCTCCTTTTTCCTACTTCTCCTTCTTCTATATTACTGTCAGTTTTCTCCTTCTCCTCCTTTCTCCTTCCCCTTCTCCTTTTCCCTACTTCTCCTTCTTCTATATTACTGTCATTGTCCTCCTCCTTCTCTTCCTCCTATTCCTTCTCCTCCTCCTCTTTCTCCTCCTTCATCCTCCTCCTCCTCCTCTTCCTCTGCCACCTCCTCTTTCTCCTTTTCCTCCTCCTCTTCGTTCCTCCTCCTCTTTCTCCTTCCTCCTCTTCCTCCTTTTCCTCCATTTCTTCCTCCTCCCCCTCCTCCTCTTTCCCCTCCTCCTCCTTTTCCTCCTGCTCCTCCTTCCTCCCTTTCCATCTTCTTCTTCTCCCAGGTACTTTTTTGGAATGTGAAACATGCAAAAGCCTCGGCGAGACCTGCACAGGCGAAATGAAAACCTGCCCCAAAGGCAAAGATACCTGCCTGACTATATATACTGAAAGCAATAGGGGTGAGCATGGTGGATGGTGGAGTGGATAGGAGGGAATTGAGTAATTACTTTCTGGATGCCTGAATTCTGGGTTTGTAAAGCCAGTCCGTAGGTTCTTTAGGGTCTTGGAGGTATATATGGAAGAGGGCAAAACCTGATGCAAGGAAAAATGGCATTGTTTCCAATTAAGAGAGCCCTGTTTCTAAATAAAGAGCATCTGGTTGGTTGTGGGTACATCTAGTGGGATCCTAAGCTTTAGGACCAACATTCAAATCAGAGTGATGGCAGGGGTGGTATGGGGCAAAAGTAGAGAAATCGTGAGATAGTGTGGTGGAGAAGTGGGTCCAGCCATCTCAGGAAACATGTATAGTGGTGCCCCGCTTGACGACGTTAATCCGTTCCGTTAAAATCGCTGTTAAGCGATATCGTCGTCAAGTGAAAGAAAAAAAAACAATTGAAATGCATTGAAAACTGGTTCAATGTATTCCAATGGGCGAAATACCTCATCGTCCAGCGAAGATCCTCCATAGGGGAAGCCATTTTCGATCGCTGTCTTCCGGAAATAGGTCCGGAAAACAGCAGGCAGCCATTCTGAAAATCCAACGATCAGCTGTTTTTGATCATCCAGAAGCGAAAAATCAGTTCCTGAAGCAGGGAACCGATTGTCGTGAAGTGGATTTTCCCCATTGAAACATCGTTTTGCGACCGCAATAGCAATCGCAAAAACCTCATAGTGAAGCGATTTCATCGTCTACTGGGGTAATCGTCAAGCGGGACAACACTGTAGTCCATACTAGGACTCAAAGAGCCCAACTTCAGACTCAAACCCTGTGCTTCTCTCCAGCGGTTCAAGAATGAACTGCTGAAAAGCTCAATGGCTTAGATTCCTGGCTGAGGAGCCAGAGGCTGGGAGTTATTTCCACTGGGCCTCTTTGACCAGAGGGGGGGGGGACTTGATGATCCATGCGGTTCCTTCCAGCTCTTCAATTCTGAGATTATTATTATAGGCAGTAGCACTGAAGAAGAAGCAGGTGTATGCAGGAAATGTGCAACAGGACCTCTTCAAGAGCAGCTTTTTCTTTAAGTTTCCAGGTCAAGAGAATTTAAAGGACCAGATCAACTCCAAACTATAGTACAGTGGTGCCCCGCATAGCGATGTTAATCCATTCCAGGATTAACGTTGCTATCCGGAAATATCGCTAAACGGAACGTAAAACCCCATAGGAATGCATTAAACTCTGTTTAATGCGTTCCTATGGGGGGAAAACTCACCAGTAAGCAAAGATTCCCCATCCGGCCGCCAGAACCGCCGATTGGCTGTTTCCCTGCAGGGCACGGAAACGCTGCGGGCAGCCATTTTCTTGACGCGGCGGCCATTTTGGAACCGCCGATTGGCTGTTTCCCTAACATCGCAATGCGAAGATCGGTAAGCGAAACGCTTACTGATCATCGCAATGCGATGTTTAGCCTATCTAAACATCGCAATGTGATTGTAAAAACGATCGCAAAATCTGCATCGCTATGCGGATTCGTCGTTAAACGATGCACTCACTATGCGAGGCACCACTGTATTTGAAATTACACACCAGGGAGCTATTGGGGGGAGTTGTCAAACACATCTTTAGTTTTCAAATCACAGGTTTCCTCCTCTTTTGAGTATGTCTCAAAACGTACCAGGCCCTTGATGCATTTAGTGGATGCTTTTAGGCTTTTTGACGATTCATCGTTCGTTGGTTTCATAATTCATGTCTCTATTCCTACCAGTTTAAGAGATCCATTTTTCATTGCAATGGTGCGCAAAATGAATGCCATTACCATGGGATGTTTTTGCAAATCCCACAGACCCCACATTCATTTTTTTTAAAAAAGTGTGTGCCTGGAGGGGGGAAGGGAAAGCTAACCCTCTCACCCCACAGCCTGCCCCCCATCCTCTTCCATGGCCCCATCATCTCCCTAACTGGTCCTGCCACTGCCTCCTCCTCCTCCATTACTGCAAATGGGTGCCACGTGACATTGGATCACCCATTTGTGATCCTGTAGCCTGCCTTTGCCTTCTAGGCAGGAGCAGAGTCTGCAGTCTCCTGGAGGAGAAGCCAGGCCTGCCGTGTTTCAAGATGGCCGCAGAGGCAGAGGACAAAGAGGAGGTGGCAATAGGACCAGGCAGGGAGGCGATGGGGGGCAGTGGAAAGGGGGCAGTGGGCAGGCTGTGAGTGTCGGGAACAAACCAGGAAGTTTGTTAAATTGCAACAAAAGTTCGTGGTTTGGGTTGATTCAGATTTGTCGGTGTTGACGAACCCGACCTGATGAACCAGTTTGATTTTCAATGGATTTCCTGGTTTGTTTTTTTTAGTTCATGCCCTTCTCTAGTCTCCATGAGTCGAATGGACTTGACAGCACATGTTGTTATTATTATAAGGCATGTCACTGACATGGTCCAGCCAATGCCCTCCCTCGTCTTCTCCGTTTAGATGGACCAGAAATTCAGAAAGTCGAAAGAGGGTGCGGCAGTAGTTACCATTGCACCTTCCCTCCGGTCTACTTTCATTTGGGTTACGGAAAAGTCTACAGGTCAAACTGGGTGTGCTGTAAAGGGGAGGAATGTGGAAAAGTTCTCGTTAAATGTAAGTATACCATTTTTTGGCATCCTCTTGGTAAGTTGCTTCTGTAAAGTTGCAGGCCAGGCAGTAAACCAGCAGAGGGCACTGCGTGGCTGGCTCGAAGCTGTAGTCAAGTGAGGTTGCAAATTATAGACAGCAAATTCCACCAGCCACTATTCTACTGACCTCCCACTACACAGAATGTTTGGCCAGCACGCCAACCCAGGATCGTGGCCTTGTGCAAGAAAACTCACCCTCTCCTTCCCAAAGTTTATGTCCGCATCATGATCCTGCATGAACGCACTGAACAGGCTATCCACTTAGCAGATGCTTGAAAGTCTGGCCGCTTCATTTAATGGGCCTCACTCTAGTTCATTTAGGGAATAAGGCTGCAACTTTGGACTATGCTCCTGAATGCCCTTCCTGGAAGTCAGATGTACGCACTTAGCAGGGGCCACGTCAGCTCCTCCAAATGCTTTCCAGAAGTGACTAAGTTACTTTGAAAACAACTTACTGTATTTTTCTGTGTTTAAGATGCTCCCATGTATAAGACGCACGCCACTTTTCTAATCCAAACTTAAGAAATCTAAGTGGGACTTAGCAAGTGTAGGGGGAAAAGGGATCAAAGTGCTGCAGGATCGCTTTGATCCCTGCTTTCCCCTCCACTTGTTTTTGTTCTCTCCTCAGCTTACTTCCGTATATACGTAAGATGACCCTCAATTTTAAGTCTAAAAATTTTAGACAAAAGTATAGTCTTATACACAGAAAAATATGGTATTGCTCTTGAGGGAAAATATGGATGATGATGATGATTTGCAAAGGTGTAAGGGCCCACTCTTTGTTTCAGATGAGAATCATGGCCTCCCTGAGATATGATTTTGCTGCTTTTTTGGAGAAGAAAGTCTTCACAATTGTGGATTTTTTTCTCCCTATGGGGGAGACAAACCATCTTGGGCTTAGTTGTGCCATAGTCCCACATTTTTTTAAACCAAGGGGTCCACCACTGAAGACTTTCTGCTTGTACTTTATCGCAGGAATAGGCAACCAGTCGATCTCCAGGTATCCTGGTTTACAGTCCCCATAAGCCCCCACCCACATAATCTAGGGCCAGAGGTGAATGAATTATAGTTGAACAATTTCTGGAGTCTACCAGCTTGTCTATCCTTTGCTGGCAGATCCCAGGAAGACGGATATTGCAATGGCATCATAAGCAGGAGAAACTGCTCCACCACCACCTTTCCTCATTCCTGCCTCACAAGAAGACTGATTCTGGTCATGGAGGTTCCATTTAATCATGCACTACTCATTGATGCATCTTCTGTGAAATAATCAAATCCCATTCAAAGACAACCTATAAAGTACACAGAGAATGCAATGGGGGTGTCGTTGGCCACCAAGCAAATTCCAGAACTTATACTTGGCAATACAGTGATGCCTTTTTGGGTGTTTGTTTTAAATCACACAACCGTTAGTATTGTGCTTGGCAAGACGAAATTTTCATGGAACGAAAATTTTCCACATAACTTGTGGAACGAATTCGTTTTGTCTTGCGAGGCATCACTGTACCTTATTCAGCCAACATGAAGGCACAAAAGAAGTATTGCCACTTTAGAGATTACACCAATCTCTTGATCAGTCAAGTTGTCAGAAAAGAAAGTAGGGAACAGATGAAATGGATAGAAGACTTGATCTGTGGAGTCTGCATGGTGTCTTGAGATGTAATGAAGAAGGGAGGCTGTGTAGATAATGAAAAGGGGCTCATAGGGTGTAATTGTGTTAGACTTCCCACCTAGAGCAGTCTATAGATCTGCTTCTTATGCCTTTTTGACTGGCCTAATAAAGGCTTCCTCCCAATCACAGATAGCTAGAGAGAGCTGGATAGCTCAGCGGCTTAGTTCTCTGGCTATGCTATAGAGCCAGAGGTTGGGAGTTCTATTCCCCGCTGGGCCTCCTTAACAAGGCTGGACTCGGTGATCCATAGGGTCCTTTCCAGCTGTGCACTTCTAAGATTGACATACTAGGTATAGGTGTATAGATATCAAATAGATACAGAAATACCTTAGCCTCTGTAAGGTTCCATATGCCACCTCTATTAAGCTAGCTTTCTCCAGCATGATGCCATCCAGATGTGTTGGATGACCATTCCTAGAAGGCCCTGGGTTAGGGGCTTGCTCAAGCTGAAGTGAATCCTTTGGTCTCTGCTTTCAGTACCGCCAAAGGCCACGGAATACAATGGAAAACAATGCCCTGCCTGCTTCGCATGGTCAGAAAAGTGCAAAGCCGAATTAATGAACTGTACTGGATGGGACACCAGCTGCTTTGAGATGATCACCGCATCCACTGCTAGTAAGTGTTTCCACGTTCCTTGGCATGGCTTTCTACTTCTGTCCCATTCGATAGGAGGGGTTAAAATTAAGAGCGATTGTTTCAGACCAAGGTTGTGTTGCAGAGGGATGGGAGGCCAGGAGATCTTGTTTTCTTCTGGAAGAGGAGATCCTTCTTTGAGACCAGATGGGCCAAGAAGGTTGTCAGAAGCCTCAGGGATTCGCCGGGCCTCTCTTGGCTCAGCCTGAAGGTGTTTCGAGGAGTCTTATCCTTGTTCAACTTTGGCAACCATAAAGGTCAGGAGTGAGGAGAAAGGACTGAGGAGAGAGCCCATTGGGGCCGACTTTGGTGAATCCATTGTGACCGTTGAAGGCAGGCACAGAGTGGAGCATGAGCACTTCGACTCACGAGCCTTCCTACGAGCCTTGGCAGCAGAGCACGAGGCCATGGGACAAAGGTCCTGTGGGCCATCAGCGAGGTTTCCACAAACCCCCCCAGCAGGGGAAGGAAGCCTGGAAAAGCTGCCCCTGTGCTTGTGTGTGGCATGAGAGGCAGACCGGGCTGTGAGCTGTAGCAGGAATGGTGACCACTGCAGCTGCTGAGCCACGTATTCTGCCTGCCTGGTAATTGAGAAGTAGTTGATTTCCCTCTTGTTGGCAGTTACCATGGCATGTGGGTTAAGTGGGCTTGGGATGAGTTTGTGGCCCATTTACCCAGGTCCCTCCTACTTCCCATCTTGTCTCCGTTCCTTTGCTTTCTCTATGTCTCTCATGCCAGCAGCATCTGACATTTCAGGGTACTGAGCTAATAGGTAGAGATGAGCGTTCAGGGCTTAAACCTACCTTAAACAAACAAACAAACAAAAAGTCCAGTTTTACATTTGTTCTACTTGTGCTGCAATCTCTCTCTTTCTTTGCCTGGAGAGTGAAAGACAATCGGAAATTCTCTGAGTCTTTAGCCCTTCAGAGTTGCACATTTCATTCCTGGGCATCTTCTAGAAAGTGTCCATGACCGGAGCAGCCGTGGCAGTGGTGGCCCTCAGGAAGAAGAGTTCAAGGCACTGCTGCTCCTGCTTTGCCACCAGAAGTGGGCACAGCCTCCTGCCTCATGATGGATTAGTCCTGTTGACCACTGCCATGTTGCCTGAGGACAGTGGGGGTTGGCATCCAACCAAAACTGGGGAGCCCCAAGATCTGACCCTTGATCTATAGCCTAGCAAAGTCTGGAAGCTACAGTTTTAAATGCATGAGTTACCACTGCAGTGTTTGAAACATGATCCAGTGTCATTACTTCTTGCAAAACTTCTTAACTGTTAGAACAGTATGACAATGGAACCAATTATCTTTGGATGTGGTGAGCGCTCCAATGCTGGAGGCATTCAAGAGAAAATTGGACACCCATCTGTCAGATCTGCTTTGACTTGGATTCCTCCCTTGAGCAGGGGCTTGGACTCAATGACCTTAGAGGCCCTTTCCAATTCAATTACAGGGGTGCCTCGCAAGACGATGTTAATTCGTTCCATGAAAAATGTCGTCTTGTGAAAACGTCGTCTTGCGACACGTGGTTACCCATTGGAATGCATTGAAATCTATTTAATGCGGTCCAATGGGGAAAAATCGTTGTCTTGCGAAAATTGTCCATAGAAAACATCATCTTGCAAAGCACCACAGCGATCGCAAAAACCAATTGTCTTGTGGATTAATTGTCCCGCAAGGCAATCGTCTTGCGAGGCACCACTGTATACTATGATTCTATAATTCAGCGTTGAAAAAGTAAGTTGGAATCAGGTCAGACTAGATAGACATATTTTGGAGAGCAACTATTGGAAATGATGACTCTACTGATCACCTCCCATCATGTCTCTCATTTCCAGATGGAACTCATGTGGACCAAATTATGATGGGCTGCACCAACAAATTTGTGTGTGCTACGATGGAAATCGAACGCTCAGATTTTTGGTTGAATGGGGACACAATTCAGAAGGCCAAATGTAGATCTCTGGCATCTCGACTCGTAAGCCTCATCTTGCCAACCTTTTCTGGGCTGTTCCTGCTGAAGATTTTCTTGTAAAAGGCATTCATATGGGGATGCATATGCTCCTCATTCTAATCCAACCCCAAGGTATCCATCCTCCAGTTTGACAAAATGTTCATTGGCTTCCGGATGGTTCGCCCTCTCCTGCTCTCACTGAAAATAAACATCAGGCTTATAATAGCAAAAAATGCCAATGTGTGGTACATCTTCATTTGTCCTCTTGTTTCATTAAAATTCTTCACTCAAACATTCCATAGAATCTATAATATAGATTCTGACTCAAACACGAGCTTGGCAAAATGATTTTTTTTTCAAAGTAGTTAATGTTGCTGGATCTGAAATGTACTTAGTTACTATCGCCCAGTTGCAATTTCACAAGTAAAACATTTACATTCCTATTCCTCAAATATAACAGGAAAAAAAGTTACAATTTTAGTTATTTTTGTTGATGGCACCTGAATGCTACAAACAGGTCAAGTCTGGTACAACACATTGTTGGCACCTTTAAAAAAAATAACCAGCCAATTGTTCTGTATTTCCTGTTTTGTGTGTGTGTGTGTGTGTGTGTGTGTGTGTGTGTGTGTGTGTCCGTCCATCCTTTCATTCTCAAAGGGCACTAACAAAGGGCTCTCTGCTGGTAATGACAGATATCTTAAGACTCTAGAATTCTTTCTTGGCTGGTGATGTGCAAACTATATGAGGGATGAAGAAAGCATTCTTTGCTTCTTTAATTTTCCAAAGGATGGAAAAATTAAAAAGAGGGTATGCTTCTGTAGTTACACATGTACAGAAGGGAATTCCTGTAGGTGACCTTTTGTGGGCAAACTTCACTTGCTGAAATTCTTTCTTACACATTTCAAATGGAGTCTCTGTGTGCACTTGGAGAAAACATGAATTCTATCTGCCGGTTCCACCACCTTCATTGGTGTGTTTGGTGGGGACATGAGAGAGGGCCCTCTCTGTTACTTCTCCCAGACTTTGGAACTCCCTCCCACAGGAGAGCAGGCTGGCCGCATCTCTGTTGTCCTTCTGCAAGCAGGCAGATGGCCTTTCTCTTCAGATAAGTTTTGAGATGTTGGATAAGGGGAAGGCTGGGCTTCACTGCTTTGAATATGTTTTGGTGTTGGTTTTGCTTACCATTTTTTTGGGTGTGCTATTTGTTTGGTCCTTTTTAGCATTTGTATACTTACTGTTTTTAGCTTTGAATATTGTACACCATTTGAGTTCTTTTAAAAAAGAAAGATATGGTAAAAATAAATATTACAAACAAGCAAACAAATCAAAAATCAAGGGAGAAAATCATCAGTAAAGATTTATAGATCAATTAATGGTAGATACCATGAGTCATTTGTTGTATCAGTAAATCTTTTTATTAGAGTACTTAGTCCTTCTTCTGTCGTGAGAATGGCTGATGGTCGGATTCCGAAAGCTCTCCTAGTAGGGAGAATTAGTGCAGGGAAAGCGAACCAGAGGGAGACCACAGCTGCGATACAAGGAGATCTGCAAGCGGGATCCGAAGGCCTTAGGAATGGACCTCAACAGATGGGAAACCCTAATATCTGAGCGTTCAGCCTGGAGGCAGGTGGTGCATCATGGCCTCTCCCAATTTGAAGAGACCCTTGTGCAGCTGGCCGAGGCCAAGAGGCAGTCCCGAAACCAGCAAAATCAGGGAGCTGGACAGGGGACAGAATGTATTTGTCTTCAGTTTGGAAGGGATTGTTTAGACCAGTGGCGAATGAAACCACTGGGGAGGATATATCAGGGATCTCCTGCCAACTGTCCTCAGACTATAGAAGCTACGTATTTGGCTAAAGAGTTGCATCATTTCTAAGAAATAGAAACATAAAATTATGAGGAAGAGCATGGTCACGTGGTGAAACTGTAATCTACTTCATTCCTTCATAATTGGGTGCACAAGGATCTGAAACGTGATATTTAGTGGAAGGAGGGTTACACAGCTGTCTCCTGCTGAGAAGGATCCTGCCTGCAGCCTTCGAGAAGGACGGGTGAGTTTTCATTTCTTTGGATGTTAAAAGAAGAACCAGATGGCAGTGTAGATCCCTACTTGATGTCTTCATAAGTGTAGCATGTATGTTTTTCAACCTTGACACGACCAGCATTGTATAGATATATTATGCGAGGCTTAATAAGAGTTGAACCACTTGAGGCCTGCTGCAAGCTGTGGACTACGAACCCCATTATCCTCAGCTAGCAAAGGTCCACCAAGCTGTGAAATACCGTGTATTGATCACCTCTGTTGGAAGGAAAGCTTTTTCAACACGAGTTCTACGGTTAGCCTCCATCTTTGTTTCGGGAGAAGTCCCATCCCTGAACTTGGCATGCTTTTGTCGGGTTGTAGGAAAGCAAAAATGGCTTTTTTCCTTCTGTTCCTTTAGAAACAACCTGGTACATTTAAAATGTTTAAGGAGAAACATTTAAGGAGACAAGAGCTTTATCTCTTCATCCTTGTGTAAGGAAAAGCAAGCTTTTGCCCACTTTCTCTCTGGGTGTCCAACCTCATGCAAGCTGATGTCCAACTTAACATCCCAGAAGACCACCTAGAGGTGTTGCAAAGGATAGACAGAGATTAGCAGTTTGACTGTGCCTCATAGGAGGACAGCCAGCCGGTGCCACCTTGGACAAGCTACACAGTCCTAGAGCACCCCCAGAAGAAGGGAATGGCAAATCTCTTATACCTAGGAAATCTTGGAGTAGGTCACCAAAAGTAAGAATTATGCGTTTCTGGAAATATTCAGAATTCGCCGAATAAACCCATATTTGAATAATTCCGAACGTATCCAAATCTGAAAGTGATCATTCCAAATGCTTGTAATAATAATTGGAGTGACATCCTGTGTGACACCTGAAGGGGGCAGAACCATTTTAGATGGTCCGGAGCATGTTTCAAACACGTGTTGAGGTGTTGGTGGTAAGAAGATGAGCCAAAGCAAGGGCAGATCTACTATAAAACTAATGAAGTTGAAACATCAGGTTCTCTAATCCTGAAGGAGCCCCAGAACCAGCTTTAGTTCATATTTTTAAAAAAATTGTGGTGATCTGTTGTACCTTGTTGTTGGTTGTGAAGGAGTTATCATTAGGAAGAATGATCTTGATTGCTTGTCTCTGTTTTTCATATCTAGGAAGTTATCGTTGGGAAGAATGATCTTGATTACTTGCCTCTGTTTTTCATATCTAGGAGGTGCAACTGGCTTTTCAATTGTGGAGGGCTGTTCTTCATAGTCTGCATGTAACTCTAAACCATGTAGGGTTGCCATAATGCCATATTTGGATCGTTCCGAATATATCCAAATCTGAATGTGATCATTCCAAATACCTGTAGTAATAATTCCTGATATCCAGAGTCCTATTTGCTCCTCTAGATTTGAAAGCAAAAGAGCTAGGTTTTTGCCTGGTAGCGAGAGGAAGAAATGAAAGTGAAACCCATTGCTCACACATCCCAGAGTGATTTCTGGAGAAACGAAAGTTCTTTGGATACTCTGTCATTAAAAGGAGTGGAGGAAGAGGACTCAGTGCCTCCTCATTGGCATTGCTATGGACTACCCAAGGAAGCAGAGAGGGGCTGGGGTGAGAGTTATCCCTAGAAGCAGGTACAGACTCCAGAAGGCATTTTTTCATGTTCCTTCTTTTCAACTGAAAGTATATAGTATGCTCCAAGCAAGCTTCAAAAGTGTTTGAATTTAATCTGGACATGCAACCCATTGCCTGCCGTGTTCTATCATTGCCGTTGAATCCCCAGAGAAACCTGCTGCTGTGTAACACTGATAGTGGATTGTTCTAAGCAGGTTTTTTTTTTTCATATCTTCTGAAACACCATGTGGTTTTTTGTGGGTTTTTAAAATTTTAGGGCCTGCTTCGAGCAGGTCTTTTCTCTGGGGATTCAACGACAATGAGAGAACACGGCAGACAATGGGTTGCATGTCCATATTAAATTAAAACACTTTTGAAACTTGCCTGGAGCATACTGTATACTTTCAGTTGAAAAGAACTGAAAGGGACGTGGCGGCACTGCGGGTTAAACCGCAGAAGCCGCTGTGCTGCAAGGTCAGAAGACCAGCAGTCGGAAGATCGAATCCACGCGACGGAGTGAGCTCCATCACTTGTCCCTGCTCCCGCCAACCTAGCAGTTTGAAAGCATGTAAAAATGTGAGTGGATAAATAGGTACCACCTTAATGGGAAGGTAAGGGTGTTCTGTGTCTAGTCGCACTGGCCACATGACCACGGAAACTGTCTTCGGACAAACGCTGGCTCTACGGCTTGGAGACGGGGATGAGCACTGCCCCCCTAGAGTCAGACACGACTGGACTAAATGTCAAGGGGAACCTTTACCTTTACCTCCAGTTGACAGCCATTGTGTTTCAACACTATTACCTGGTTCTTAAATTATTCAGGGGACAAAGCATTATGGTGTCGTTACACCTGTGGAAGGCAAAAGGCATCACTCAGAGTATTGTTTTGGTACTAATTAATGGCTCCCTGTCTAGATCTTAGGATGGGCTGGCACACACCCCAAAATCCAAGCAGGGACTCATTAATTGCCAGTAAGGAGCCATGGGGAGCTATGATATCTGCCTTTCGCAGGCATCACTAAGCAACAGGATTTTGGCCAGCAAGTTATAAATAAATAAGATTGCAAAAGACATAGCAGCCATCCTCTAAGCTCAACATCAATGATAATTTGGTCAATAGGTTGACAGGTATTAAAAACAGGAATCCAAAACAGTGTCCCTGCTGACCCCATCATAATGGCAAGCATTAAAATTGTTATGTATATGTGCATTTGAAAAAGGGAACACTACTGCCAAATGCTTTGGGGGAGGAAGGGACTGCAGGTTAATCAAAGGTTGTGCTTACCTGCATGTGATACTGGCCAGGTGGATTTATGAGCACGTAAGCGAAATTTTGTCAGCCACAACGACATTCTTGATTGTGTGCCTGGTTGCACAATGGGCATGCAATCGAGAATGTGAATGACATCCATTCATTGACTTGTCGCAATTCAGCTTATGTAATTTCACTTAGGCTTGTGTAAATTGCCAACAGGATTCCAGCCAACTTGCACAAAATTTGGATCGCTAATACAGAGCCAAACATGGATCCTGCTAAAGAAACAAGGCCCAGTTCTGCATGAGCCCAAACTCGGGCTTAAATTCAGGAAGGGGAATACT